CTCAATATGATCTTTTTAAAAAAATATATTTTTAAGTTGTAGGTGAAACTTTATTTTTATGTGGTGCTGAGGATAGAACCCAGTGCCTCATGCATGCTAAGCAAGCACTCTACCACTGAGCTACAACCCCAGCCCCTCAGATTTCTTTCTTTTTTCTTTTCTTTTTTTTCTTTTTGTGGTGCTGGGGATTGAACCCAGGACCTTGTGCGTGCAAGCCAAGTACTCTACCAACTGAACTATATCCCCAGACCTTTTTTTTTTTTTTAATACCTTTATTTTATTTGTTTATTTTTATGTGGTGCCGGAGATTGAACCCAGTGCCTCAGGCATGCTAGGCAAGTGCTCTACCACTGAGCCACAACCCACCCCCCCCCAGCCCCTCAATATGATCTTCATACCTGGTTTTTGAGAGAAGTACTATCACTGGCTTCATTTTATAGACAAGGAGACAAGCTCAGTGGGGTTACATTGAATTCTATCTGTATTACTGAGCACCAACTCTGTCCCAGGGCCAGAGAACACTGAAGACTGAGACAAAGTCTCTGAACTTGTGGGACCTGACCCTCTGATGGGGAAGGCTGACAAATGGGTAGACACAGAAAATTCTTAGTTAGAAGTCTTCTACTGATCAGTGCTATGAAGGGAAAAGACATCCAAACAGCATGTGACAGATGCAGGATTTGGACCCAGTTCTATAGTATGCTCAAGCCCAGTATTTGTACTGCTGCCTTGCCTTCTAAGAAATTTTAATAAATCTTGGTACGTCTGCTTTTCCAGGTGGTGATGGGGGGAGATCCTTGGTTGGCTTGCCTGGGTCTGCTGGCACTGGGGAGTCCCCAGCTCTGAATTGCTCTTTTTTCCTCTCAGGATCAAGCACCCCAACATTGTAGCCCTGGATGACATCTATGAGAGTGGGGGCCACCTCTACCTCATCATGCAGCTGTGAGTGGCCCTTCCCCTGCTCTGCTCACATTTCTCTCCCTGCTGTCCCCACTTTCTTGGCCAGACTGTCCTGTCCCCTACTGCAGGGTGTCAGGTGGGGAGCTGTTTGACCGCATTGTGGAAAAAGGCTTCTACACGGAGCGGGACGCCAGTCGCCTCATCTTCCAGGTGCTGGATGCTGTTAAGTATCTGCATGACCTGGGCATCGTCCACCGCGATCTCAAGGTGGGTGTGAGCTGGGGAACAGTGAGCAGGGGACATGGGGGCAGGGCCTTTGGAAACCCCTCAATGTCCGCCCTTGGGCTGCTCTCACCTCCTCACTGAGCCTCAGCTTCCTATCTGCAGACTAGACCTTGTGACCCCCAAAGTGCTTCTCCCCATTAAAGTTCAGACACTCAAAGCCACACAAAAGTGAACTGGAATCCTACTCCTCAGAGACAATGATGGGGTGCATGTTTTGTAGTACATCTCATTCTGGCTGTGCTACTCCATAACTGGGCTCTTAGGCAAGTCACTTTACCTCTTGAGGCATCAGTTTCCTCATCTGTAAAATGGGTTTGTTCAGACTGACCTGGAAGAGAAGGTGGGAAGGTGCAAATCCACCAAGTACTCCAGGGCCTGGCATACAGTAACTGCCAGAACTTTTTTAGGGCTTTGCAATACACACCTGAGGTTTACATAAAAATTCCTTCCCATACCCCTGGGGCCCTTGTCCTTTCTGGAACTTTTGGCCTTCCTGAGAACTTCCTTGCATTTCCAGCCAAGATGGTAGCCACAGTGGCTTTTGTGGGGGATGAGGATCCCATTGCTTCTCAAGGGGTGCTTGGGACGGTTCTGCCAGCCTCTGGCCATCTGACTGCTCCTTCCCCCTCCTGCCTGCCCTTCAAGCCAGAGAATCTGCTGTACTACAGCCTGGATGAAGACTCCAAGATCATGATCTCCGACTTTGGCCTCTCCAAGATGGAGGACCCAGGCAGTGTGCTCTCCACAGCCTGTGGGACACCAGGATACGTGGGTGCGGAGGGCCCTGGGCTGGGTCTGTGGATGCGGGAGGAACCAGAAGCTGCAGGGCAGAAATTTGTCACTGCCATGTCCCATTTTCTCCACAGCCCCTGAGGTGCTGGCCCAGAAGCCCTACAGCAAGGCCGTGGACTGCTGGTCCATTGGGGTCATTGCCTACATCCTGTAAGTGGGGGTGTGGCCAAGTAGGGTGTAGCTCCAGAGCTGACCTTTCCCCTGCTTTACTATTCCACCCTGTTATTCCTTCCTTCCCTCCATCCATAGTTAATCTACCTATTAATTACTAATATCACTTCATTCAATAGATACTATGTTTCAGGAACTGCGCCAAGCATGAGCACTTAGCAGAGAACAAACCAGACCAAGTGCTGGCCCTTGGGGAGCTGATATTGTAGTAGGGGAGACAGAAAATCAACAAGTAAATAAATCTATACAATAACATTAGATGGCAAAAATGAATAAACAAAAAACAGGAGAAATGGGGATTGCTACCATTTCAGATAAAGTCAGGGAAGAGCACTTTCTGTGGAGGTGACATCTGAGTGGCCTCTTGAATGAAGTGAGATGTGGGGTAAGGTTTGGGAAGAGGGAACAGCAAGTACAAAGGCCCTGAAGATGGCAAAATTGATCAAAAAACAGAAAAGACCAGTGTAGCTAGATAGGAGCGAGCAAGGCAGGGAGGGGCAGATTTTACAAATGGGTAACTCTTTTCCATGAGTCCTGCTTGATGTTTGGGACTGGCCCAAAGCTGTCCCAGAGCCACTGGGCACACTGAGAGTGGAAATCAGGATGAGTTTCTTCCTGCCCAGGCTCTGCGGTTATCCCCCCTTCTATGACGAGAATGATGCCAAACTCTTTGAACAGATTTTGAAGGCCGAGTATGAATTTGACTCTCCTTACTGGGATGACATCTCTGACTCTGGTATTTTGGATTTTGCCTTCTTTCGCTGGGCCCTGCCTCTGGCGCCTTCCTCATCTGCTCTGGGGGGGGGGGGGGGGGGCTCCCTAGTCAGGTTCTCCAGTCCCAGAATAAGTTGTCTAAGGTCAGAACCCCCACCTCAGGGGTTTCCCTCTGCTTGGCTCCTAGTCTGAGAAACTTGTAGGCATTTATTCAGTCTTCAAACATAGTATTTTTGAAAATACCTCCCCTACTGACTTCCTAATGCCTAAGACACCACCATAATCATTTTCATCCCTCTTTTTGTGCCCTCTATTAAAAGCAAGCCAATGAAGGCATCTCCAGTTGTTCACACATACTGTGAATATACTGAAGGGAGTCTTCTCCAGAACATGTTTTTGAGAGAGAATGGAGAGAGCTGGGAGGCTGGAGTGAAGTGGTGTGGTGCATGGACAGATTTGGCCCCTATGTCTTGCTTTGCGGTCAGACCAGATGTCAGGGAGTGCTGTCCTGGGGGTGTCCACAGGCACTGCCATGCGGTATGTCTTTGCTTTTGTCTTGGGGGTTCAGCCAAAGATTTCATCCGGCACTTGATGGAGAAGGATCCAGAGAAGAGGTTCACCTGTGAACAGGCCTTGCAGCACCCATGGTGAGGAAAGTCTCCACAGACTGGGGGTGGGGGTGAGGCCTGGCCCCCCAGGCCTGCTTCTACCCTTACTGGCAACCCTCCACATATACCCATCCTAGGATTGCAGGAGATACGGCTCTAGATAAGAACATCCACCAGTCGGTGAGCGAGCAGATCAAGAAGAACTTTGCTAAGAGCAAATGGAAGGTGAGTCCATAGCTCTAGTCCGGGGTCCCAGCCTCCCCAGGACTCCTCCCCACCCTTGCCCAGGCTGTTTGCACATTGCCAAGTCAGACATGCAGTAACCACAGGGCTGCTTTCTGAAAGACCTCACTCTTTATTAAATAAGTACTTCTGACACTCAATTTGAGAGGGTCCCTGATCTCCAAGTCTAGAGGGAAAATAGTAAACTTAGAAGGCATTTGATGCAGCCTATGAGTTCCAAGAAGGGTCATAAAGGTGGTAATGGCCTGAAGAATCTGTCAGTTGAGTAGCAATTAGACACATGGAATAATGTCCAAGGCACAGAGAAGAGGGGTGCAAAGTTCCAGAAGCAAGAGAGTGGAGCTGGCCACCCAGAAATGCACATGATAATCCTGGTTACACTGGAGGGGCAGAGGAGACTGACTGGCAAGAGGGAAGGCTAGAGAAGTCAGTAAGGGCCGCACAACTCAGGACCTCAAATACCATAGTAGAGCACCAACTTGACATTGAGGGTGCTGAGGAGCCCCAGAAGGATTTCAAGTAAAAAAAATGGCCATTTAGAAAGAGCTCTCAAGTACAAAAAAACAGCAAAGAGTGAAGATTGGGAGACAAGTAGGAGGCTGTGGCAGAGATGCAGGCAGGAGATGGGAAGGACTTGACCTTGGGCGGCAGTAATAGGAATAGAGAATAGTAGCTGAGAACAACAATCATTTAGGAGGTAGGATCAACAAGAAGTGATAGTGGAATGGATTCTGAGGGTGTGAGTTGAGATGTCAAGGGCTGTCCTAACTTTCTGGTTGGGGACAGATTAGCCTGGAAATTATCATAACTGTGATCCCAGGAGCAGGATGTGTTTTGGGGGGAATGCTTTTAGTTTTCAACATGTTTTTTGAGGGGTATATAGGAGAATCTAGGGGGATATGATGAAAAGAAAATTACATACATAGCCAGGAGTGGTGATGCACATCTATAATACCAGCTACTCGGGAAGGTGAGGCAGGAGGACTGTAAATTCAGGGCCATCCTGGGCAATTTAGAGAGACCCTGTCTCAAAATAAGAGGGCCAAGGTGTGTAACTCAGTGGTAGAGTGCTTGTCTGACGTGTGCAAGGCCAATATTGAAACAAAACAGAAAAACAACAACAACAACAAAAAAAAAAACCACAGAGGTTAAGTTTCTTGACCTTTCTATACCTCAGTTTCCACCTATGAAATTTGTGATATTAAAAGTGCTCACCTGAGAATTTTGGAAAGATTAAATGAGTCACTATGCAAAATACTTGAAACAGTGCCTGACACACATGCTGTGTAGTGTTTGCTATTACATATGAATATGAATAGTTTTATTTATATGTATACACATAAACAAAGAATGTTTATGTATACATTCTATATATATATATGTGCACACATAATTGAACAGAATTTCACAAAGCTTTGTAGAGGCTGAGCACGGTGGCACATACCTGTAACCCTGGTGCCCTAGGAGATGGGGATTGCAAGTTGGAGACCAGCCTGGGTAACTTAGTGAGAAACTGCCTCAAAATAAAGTTTAAAAAAGGGCTGAAAGGGCTGAGGTTCTAGGTCAGTGGTAGAGCACCCTTGGATTCATTTTCCATATGGTTTAACAGTATGGTTTAAAAAAAAAAAAAGCCTTGTTTTGGGGTTGGAGGGACTTATAAGTGTCACTAAATAACCCCTGAATGAAGAACAAACAAATAAAAAATACCATTGAAAGAATTCTACTGCCAGGCCCTGACTATAAGCTCCCACCTTCTCAGAAGTCCCTTCTTCCCTTTCTCCACAGCAAGCTTTCAATGCCACGGCTGTGGTGCGGCACATGAGGAAGCTACAGTTGGGCACCAGCCAGGAGGGTCAGGGACAGACGGCGAGCCACGGGGAGCTGCTGACGCCAACGGCTGGGGGTGAGGAGCAGGGATGCTTGGAAGGGTGTGGGTGGGCCACGAAGAGACGCCCAGCTGGAGTGCAGGGTGTGCCCTACTGCCAACTGTATTCTGTCCTCCCACACAGGGCCGTCAGCCGGCTGCTGCTGTCGAGATTGCTATGTGGAGCCAGGCCCGGAACTGTCCCCAACAATGCCCCCGCAGCTCTAGGGCCCTGGATCTAGTCAGGGTTTCTTTTGTGGGAGGGGCTGGGGGTAGCCTACTCCCTTCCCTGAGTGAACTGGGGAGTTACCCTACCCACTGCCCTCCCCACCCCTTCCTCTCACTCCTCACTGCATTTTCCATACAAAGGTTTCTATTTTATTGTTCCTTCTTGTAATAAAGGGAAGAAGATAAAACCATACAGCTCTCTCTCCAGAATGGCCCCCACCCTGTCCCGTTGTGCAAATTGATTGCTTATTTGGGGTGTGCCTGGCACCTGAGGTAGTTTCAGAGAGCCCTCCCCAACATAAGCCTAAGGAGGATGTGGGGAGAGAAGCAGGGAACGGAGGGGAAAGGTTTTGGGGAATTCCTTTGTCCAGTGCTCCTTGCCTAGACTTCTGGCCCTTTAGACACCTTTTTGCGCTTTGCTGGTGGCTCCTGGGAACGGTGGGGTTGGTGCAGGTCAGCACTGAACAGCACCTATGGGAGGGGGAGTGTGTGGGCAGAAAGGTACACTGGTTTAGGAGTAGAGGGGCTGGTGACAGTGCAGGAAGGTGGAAGAGTCCATGGGGGTCAGGGCTGGATTGGTTGGAGAGGCCATTAGGGTCACCTGGGATGGTGGAAGTGAGAGTCCATTGGGACAGACTGTTGAAAGAGTCCACTAGGGTCAGGGACAGGGAAGAAGTTCTTTGGGGTCTGGGCTAGAGAGGAGGGGAAATCTAGGTACACTCACTGCTTGGGCCCAGCCAGCATAAGGTCCCCACAGGCGCCGGAAAAAGTTTCCTAAATCAGAAGTGAGGAGGCTAGATTAACTGGCCCAACCTGCCCCCCAATCCACAGAGGCAGGGATTGAGGAAGAGGTGATTAAGAGATAAATTTCTAACATCTCAGCCCAACGCCCCAATGTCCCACTCTGTCCTCACCCAGTTCCTTGTTAGCCTGAGGGCTGGGGCCCTTGGCCCGGGATGTGGTAGGATGCCAGCTGTAGTCACGTTGGGCTATCTGCCACACATGGACGTCCACGGGCACAGCCTGAGGTTTTTCTAGGGCCATGAGGCAGATGCAGTCAGCCACCTTTGACAAAGAATGTGCCACTGTGGAGGAATGGTAGGATCCAGCCACTGTCCTCCATCTATTCCTAAAGCCAACTGCTTCCTCCTGTACTCTGAGGTCACTATTGTCTGTATTCTCAATCGGTATGTATTGATTTTTCTAAAAGTGCTACTGAATAATCACTTCTGTGGCCCACATTCTCACCATAATCTAGGGAGAAGATATTACCATACCCAATTAAAGACCACTATAAACTTCCCTACCATTCCTTCTGGAAATTTCTGTATACACAGAGCAACATACACATGCACTGACACACACAGCCTTTCTATGAAGGCATTTAAAGGGTAAAGTCTTTCATACTCTCCTGGCACCCTGATTTTTCTAATAAAAACATTTGCTTTTATCCTTTTTCTTTCGGGCCCTGCCTCCAAAAGCCAGGCCTCCACCCACCTCCACCCACCTCTCAGACCTGCCCTGTGTCTGACTCCCTCCTCTCAGTGTGAGTGGATGGGAGAGCTGCTACCTTTTTTGGGCGCCTCACCTTGGTGCCCACCCCAGGCAGGGTGCAGAGGGCCTTGTGTGCCTCCTCATAGGGGGCTTCTCGAAGCTGCTGCAGCCAGGCCAGACCACCCTGTTCTTCCAGGATGGCTCGGGCACTGGCACTCACATATTGGGCACGGTACCCCAGACCCAACTTCCTGAGGCGAGCTTCCACCTCCATACCTGTGGGGAGTGGGGAGAAGAGCAAGGATTAGGCATCTTGGAGTCCTTCTTATGCAAAGAAGGGATAGTATATGAGCTCTTTATCCCAAGGGAATGCTTTTCCTAAAGTATCCCTCTCTCCTCACTGCCCTCTAGGAGACAGGAGATAAAAGTACGTGCCAAGCAAAGGAAAGCATGGGTTCTCCCCTCTACAAGTGTTTTCTGAGCATCTATTACATACTGGGCTCTAGAGAGAGATGGATGCGTTGCCTCGGAAGAGCTCCCTATTTTGAGTTTCTTAACTTTTCCCAAGAGTGTTTACAGTTATGACCTAAAAATATTATAGTAATAACTGCAACTGCTTCTATTATCAAGTTCTGGTATCATGCAAGGGCTAAGTGCCTTAGGTACATTATCATCATGCTTTCAAGGACCCCGATGACAGCACTGTTATTTCCCCATTTCCCAGATGGAGAAAAGGAGGGCTTAAAAGAGGCAAAGTAATTTGATCAAGAAAGGACATAGTTTGCTTATAATCCCAGCTATTAGGAGGTTGACACAGGAGGATTCTAAGTTCAAGGCCGGCTACACAACTAGGTGAGACACTGTCTCAAAACACAATTAAAAAAGAAAGAAAGAGGGGCTGGGGATGTGGCTCAAGTGGTAGCGCGCTCGCCTGGCATGCGTGCAGCCCGGGTTCGATCCTCAGCACCACATACAAACAAAGATGTTATGTCTGCCGAAAACTAAAAAATAAATATTAAAAAAGAAAGAAAGAAAGAGGCCTGGGGATATAGCTCAGTGGTTCAGTGCTGGCCTAGCATGTGCAAGGCTATAAGGCCCTGAATTCAATCGCCAATTCCACCAAAAAAAAGCAGCAGCAGCCATGATATAGATGGTATCTTATACCCAGGTCTAGAAATCAGTACCTGTGTCCCCATTACTCTTTTTTTTATTAAAGATTATGATTTTATTTTTTATTTTTATTTTATTTTTTTTTTAAGAGAGAGAGAGAGAATTTTTTAATATTTATTTTTTAGTTTTCGGCGGACACAACATCTTTGTTTGTATGTGGTGCTGAGGATCAAACCCAGGCCACATGCATGCCAGGCGAGCACGCTACCACTTGAGCCACATCCCCAGCCCCCCATTACTCTTCACTGTCTCATGACTGCTGTATTAACCAGCTCCCTAACCCCTTCTTGATAGAAACTTATTTCCATGCTATAAACAAGAGAAGACTGGAGTGGTGAATAAATTCCTTCCTTTAGGTCATGACTACTAAACTAAGAGCTGAGACTCAAGACCAGGTTTCTAAGCACCAAAACAATTCTGTTTTTCTTATGAGGCAGGTTCTTCCTGCTATGCAGTCCCCAAGCACTTCCCCTAGCTTAGTTCTCACACCTACCAACTGATACACTTGCTTCTGTAAAACACTTGCCTCAAAGGGCTGCTGTGAAGATACCCTGTGTTCCTGAGTGCAAAACTGTTGGGTTTACTGCAGTGATAGCAGCTTGAGTTTTCCATATACTTCCTGTGTGCCAAACACTGCTGAGTGCAGGATGTGTATTCTTTTATTCAATTCTCATAATGACTATAATTATCCCATTTCACAGATGTAGACACTGAAGCACAGAAATGCTAAATAATTTGCCCAAGTGACAGGGCAGGGATTCAGCCCCAGTGAATCTGTCTCCAGAATGTGTGCTCTTAACTCCAAACTACTGAACACTGCATACAGATATTTCTCTGATGAGGCATCAAAACTATTGGCAAAAAACACACACTAGACCGGGGCTGCAGCTATATGGTAGCGAACTTGCCTAGAAAGCTCGAGGCCCTACCTCGAGGCTTGAGGTTCAATTCCTAGTACCACAAAAACAAAACAGAACAAAAGGCACAGACTAGTAAGGTGCTGGCATTTTTTTTTTTTTTTTTTAATTTGGTACCAGGGATTAAACTCAGGGGCAGTCGACCACTGAGCCACATCCCCAACCCTATTTTGTATTTTATTTAGAAACAGGGTCTCACTGAGTTGCTTAGTGCTTTGCTTTTGCTGAGGCTGGCTTTGAATGCAAGATCCTCCTGTCTCAGCTTCCTGAGCTTCTGGGATTACAGGAGGCGCTCACATTTTAAGGAGGTACAGCTGGGTCTCAACAGACCAGGCAGGGTGGTTCTAGATGGGGAAAGTGTTTGGGAAGGAGGAAACTTTTAGATGAGAGATGGTGACCACAGAAAACTGAACAGATATCCTTGTTCAAAAGCTGTATAGAGGGCTTGGGGGAAGGGGATCCACCTACTCACCAGCCAGGGCTTGCAGGGTGGGGAAGCCATGGTAGGTGACATCATCAAGCTGAATGAGCCGAGGTCCAAAAGCCTGGCACAGCCGCTCCACCATGCCAGTGATGCGGGTAATGTTGTTGTTGGAAGAACAGATAAATGAGAAAAGGCATTCGATGGGGTCAAGTCTCAGCAATCGCACACCTGGAGACCAGAAAGGCAAGGGGCAAGAGAAGCATCTGCTGTAGGTAGTGGCTTCCTCCCACCCTCAGATCAGATCAGGGAGAACCCAGGATAATGACGAGCAGCACTGTTAGAGAAAACACCACCAGACTTCTCATTCCTAATAGCATCTTGTGAAGGCCAGGTTACTAATATAGAAGCCACAGTATAAGCACCGTGTGGGGAGGAATTTGGATCCAATTTGTTCTTGCTACATTTTAGTAACATAGCAGAATGAATGAAATCACCTGCCCCAAGTCCCATGGCCAGGATTAGGCTCCATATTCTTGTCACTTCACTATGGTGATCAGCAGGATAATAATAATAGTAATAATAATTACAACGTGTCCGGTACAATCCTAAGTACTTTACATATATTAGGTCCTTTAATCCTCATCAAATCCTATGAAGTAGATACTACCACCATTTTACAGATAGAATTTAAAACATTCTCAGGTACTTAACTAATGTACCTGAACCCCAACCCTTGCCCCAGGCCTGTACTCACCTTGGAATTTCTGAGCCATCTTTTGGAAATGGGAGTCCACGGAACTCCAATGGCTGTACAGTTGAGCCAGGCTGACATCTAGCTGGAAGTACTTGTGCACTGTCTCCAGTTCCTCAGGTGTGGGTTTGCCAGTCCAGCCCTTGTCCCCTCGGTACACAGTGCAGTATAGCAGCTCCTCAGTTTGAGTCAGTGTCCACACTTGATCCGCCAGCACGCCACTCCAGTGTGCAGGGCTTTGCTCCTTCCACCTGAATTCCCAGTGCAGGCAACCCTAACACTCAGTTTCCCTTCCCACACACTCTGGGAGTCTCTCCTATTCCCAAATGCCCCATTTATAAAACTGACTTAACAGTTGCAAAGTAAAAGTAGCACCTTTGGTTTTATTGCATGATCCTAACAATATTGCAGACTTACTACCCCTACTTTGAAAGGCGGCAACAGGCTCGCCACCAGTGCTTATTTCCTTAATATCCTGAGAGATACTATCCCATCCATCACCCCCAACATTCCTTTGCATCTTTGGTGGGCTGTAAAAGGCAGTCAGGAACCAGGGTCCCAGGGGAGGAGCCTCCCAGGTCAGCCACTCACCGGAAGGACTGTCCCGAAGCTAAAACCAGATCCAGGCGCAGTTCAGAGCGTGGACACGGGATGGAGGCCCAGAGGGCCGGGCTCGAGGATAGAGTACGATGCGTCATGCTACCAAGCAGAAGGGACCGGGCCACCATTTCGGGCTCCGCTCCACCACAGCCCCGCCGGCTCAGACCCAAATCACCCGAACGGCAAAGACCCCCGTTTACACAATGACCATGCCGCTTAGGGCTTCGCCCACAGTCACCAAGGCCTCTCTCCCCTCTCCCTCTATTTCCTCCTGCTTTCCTGAGGGGCAGGTCCCCTCCCTTCTTCCTCACGTATCCCTCTACAGCCTCCAGAGCCTCCGGGCATTCACTGCAAAAATGCCCTGGATTTTGGAAGCTCGCGCGAGTGTGTTCTTCCGGCTTTTCCAGGGGGTGGCCTTGCCGAGACCGGAAGTAGAGCTCCGACTCCTCTTATTTGACCTAGTGGTAGCCAATCCGAGAAGGAAGTGGGAGGGCCAATGAGGAAGCGGGCGTGGCGGAGGGGGCGTGGCTTTCCGCGGCGCCCAGGCCGTTGGCGCGCTCTGGGCTCGCTGCCGACTATTGGCTTTTCCTCCGAGATGCCTTGCACTCGCCCCGCGCGCCTGCGAACCCGGTGCTGCGCAGGCCCAAATCCTGCCCGAGTTTCACCGAGCCCTCAGCCCAGCCTTCCCCACCTCGTCCTCAAAGACCCTTTCTCCAATGAGTCTTCGGAGTCTGATACTCGCCCTCATCGGGCCTTCCTCTCATGACCTCTTTCTTCAACCATGAATCTGACCCAAGCCCAGTTCTGGGCCCTTAGAAGTGTCTCCAGAACCTGTCTCGGGAGGACTCTCTCTTCAGCGTTTACCCGCTCAGCTTGTCCCTGCTCAGGCCTTCTCCTAGCCTCTACCGCGCCTGCAGGCCTCTTAAGTCCTTCAGAGGCCTGTCTCTTGGCGAACTCCTCGCCACATCTGCTCCTTCCGTCCGGAGCACTCCTAAGACGGTACACCCCCCTGTTCACTCTTGTGCATGGAGTGAGGCCCACTAGGAGCCTTTCCGGAGGGCCCCAGGAACCTAAGCAGCAACCCAGAGTACAAATGTGAAACCCTGAGGCAGCTTGTCTGGTCCAGTTGCCACTGCCAGCCGCCTGGACCCAGAAAAGACTATGTAATTTATTACTTTCTGGAGGAAAATGGAAAAATGGAGTTAGGGGTCATGAACTTGGGAAGTTAATCTGGGGCATTTTCCACCTAGCATGGTGATTTAGGGTTGTATTTAAACGACTAGACCCCAAGTTCTTCAAGGGCAAGATCTGCAGGTGATTAATCTTTGTGTCTCATCCACAGCATGGCACAGCTGGGTGCATGGAGAATCAACAGATGAGTCTTTGACTTAAGTTTCATTCCTCAGTGGCTACAAGGCCTTGGGCAAACCATGTCTTGCTGTTTCACCTAGTAGGCATGCCACCTCACAGGCACCTAGCACTTGGAAGTCACTCCTTCAACAAATGTTGGTTGAATTGGAAAAGGTGCCACTTTTGGGGGTGAATGAAAGCAACCTTTACATCCTTTGTCTGTTTCCAATCTCAGCTATAGTGACAGAAGCACTTGGGCCATGCTCCTGGCAAAGGACTTGAATGAAGCCACCCACTGAAATCCACAAAGGAATCCAGAGTGGACTTTTCATTCCCAGTTCAGCAAACTAGTTGAACAGTCAGCTTTGCAGACAAATAGACCTGAATTCAAGTTTCCTAGCTGTGAAACTTTCTAGTTGTGGGAATTTAGGCAAGTTTCTTACTTTTTCTAAACCAAAGTATCTTTGTGGAGACAACCAGTCTGTTATCTTATTACCCTACCCTATATTTGCTGTAAGGTATAAGTAAAATTGTGTATCTAGATACTTAGTACAAGGCCTTCCACTTAGAGTATGGCAAATGGGAACTCTCATATTTCTTTTGCTGTTGTGTCAAAACTAGCATGCATAGCAGTATCACTGGGGCCCAATTATATACCATCCCTAGGGCATAGATCTACCTCCCATTGAATCCCTGTGCCCTAGCAGAAGGCAAGAACAAAGAATTCTAAATAGACTGTTTATTTTTCTAAGAATCAATATATTTTCTTCCTTTGAAATAAATACAAACCAGTTTGAAAGGTAAGGGGGAATCTATGGGAAAGACAGGGAAGTGGGGACAGGCCCCAGTCTTTTTTTCTTTTTTTTTTTTAGTACCAAATGACTCTGGCGCGACCCGGAAACGCAGTTACAAATGAGAATAATTTAAATTCTCCGATAATTACATTATTTACAACAGCAGGGGAGGGGGTCACCTAGTGCCCCTCTTCCGGGCTGGACAGACATCAATCCCACTGCTAGGCTGGGCAGATGCCGGCATGCCTCACCACCTGCAGGGGCCTCAGGCCTCTAGGCAGTATGTATTCTCCTGGCATGAGCAGGCAGAGGTGGTAGGATGGCCTGTTTTAAGCAGTGTCCTAACCTTGGCCCACCACCCTGCTCTACAATACCATGAGGTCACTGGAGCTCTTTCTGACCTGTGGGACCTCTCCTCTCCTTGCACTGAGTCGCTGTGGGCCCTTGGAGTGTTCTGTACAGTCCAGCTGCACTCAGGGCAGGAGGGACCTCCCCCACCCAGCTTCCCCTGAGACTGGCCCCAAGACCAGGAATGAGTCAGTGCAGAGGCCGGTGCCACTCCAGGACAGTGAGCAAAGGGAAGGAGAGAAGTCACAGGGCACTGTAGGTTGGGCAGTATCAGTCGCTATCGCTGGTCTCGCTGCTCTGTTCACCCTGAACCTTGCTACGGTGCTGAAGAGCCCTGTGGTAGGCGATTTGTACTGACTTGCGGATATTTGACTTGCGGCCCTCCAACATCTTCTCTTTGTCTAGGTCCTGGTTCACACCCAGAGGGACCAACTTAGTCCTGGGTAGCCACTGCCTACAGAGAAAGGTGAAGATCAAATAAATCATCTCAGTGAGAACAAGCACTAGCTTTCCTCACTCCATGCTTTCAAAAACACCTCTCCTCAGAACCCACACTGGCAAGAGACTGTTGGGCACTGGGGTTACAGAGACCCAGAGACACAGTCCTTGTCCTCAAGGACTTGCTCACAGCCTAATGATGGAAAGAGTCCAGTCAACAGCTACACTACGGGGTAACCACAAGGTATTTATGAGTGCTAAGAGGAGAAGCCCCGACCTAACTGTCCCATAAGCTCCAGGCAGACTTAACTAGCACTGAATATCATTGGCAGGCAATTAATAAAGACGACATATGTATATGCAACAGAACAGGGATTTAGAGCCTAAATATTTATGTGGGCTTTATCCTTGATACCATAGAGGAAGAGCTGGGAAAATTAAGTCCAGAAGCCCTCTAAGTCAGGGTTGGGAGTCACCCCCATATCTGTCAGTCACTGGTGTTCCTATGGTTTCTAGCCACAGTTCTTTGTTAGCTACTGACCACTTTGCTTGTCAGTCTCATGGTCAACACAACCCTTTTGCTCAAAGAGCTGTTCTTTCATCCATTCCCCATGGATCTGTGACAGCCTGGTCTGCTGCTGGACTTTCCTGGCAGTCTGCCCCATACCACAATGGGTTGCATCTATGGCTGAGTCACACCAAATGCTCCCCACCTTTCTTACCAGGTTCTTTTGTTGTCAAAGAAGAGAACGAGGTAGAGATGCTCTCGGGCTTCCTGGGTCATCTGCTCCCCAAGTTTCAGCACCTCCAGTGGGGGCACAGGGATGGGAACCCCATGGTGGAACATACCTTCTCGGGGCATCTTTGGATCAATGATCTGAGGGTGTAATATGAGCCCAGTTTGGTTCCATTCAATTCCTCCCCAAAGCTCTCCCTTCCCAATAATTTGGAGACTACATCTGAAGCAGGGACAAAAAAGTTGTCATGCTACTAGGATTATTATACTGACCCTTCACTTTTTTCTATGCTAAATTATTTCAGAGCCTAAGGGCAAAAAGAAGGACAAAGGAGTGACAGAGAAACTGACTAGAGGCCTCTATGGGGATACTCAAGCTACATCTTTTTCTACCACTCTTATCTATTAGGGAACCCTGGGTTCCACAGTTCAGTAGAGAGCAGGGAAAGTCCTACAATTGTGAACCTGAGTTCTGGGGTTAGAAAGCAAGAGGCAGGAAGAGAAGTGGAAGCCTACCAGAGCTGGGTATGATGGATACCCTCGGCATTTGGCCCACACCAGGTCCAGAGCGTCCAGAGGGGAGTCCTCATCCTCTGAGAGCCAGCCAGCTCCCCGACCCAGACTCTTCCTCACCACTTCACAGGAAAGGGAGAGAGGGGGTGGATCAGTGGCTGGGGGGCTGGCAAGGCCCTGACACTGAGTGCCCAGCATCCCTGGCTTTGGGTGAAAGTACTTACTGCTGTGGCCCACGCCGCGGCCAGTGCCCACGGAGTAGGCCTCATTCTCAGTGCCTGAGGTATCTTCACTGCTATCCTCTGGGAATGTGCCCCGAGAGAAGGAGGGCTTGCCCCGGCCTTGTTTTGAGGGTGTTGTGCTGTAGACAAAACAGTGGGAACTCAGTTCAAAGAAGAGGAGGAATGGAGAATGGCTTGGCACATGTCTTCTCTTTTAAGTCCCCAGTGTCTAGACTTTTGGAAAGCAGAGACTATATGAAGAATTTCAAACTCACACACTCTAGGGAGCTGGTCATTTTACCAAGGTGGGCTGGAATAAGGTGTGGGGAGTATATGCCTTGTTCAAAGGCGATATGCAGGCACACCAGGCACCCCTGGGATTGAACCCAAGGGCCTTTGATCACTGACCAACACTCCTCAGCCCACCTTATTTTTTATTTTGAGACAGGATCTCACTAAGTTGCCAGAGCTATCCTTGAACTTTCCATCCTTCTGCCTCAGCACCCCTAGTCACTGGGATGATAAGCCTGTGCCACCATTGCCTAGCTGATCCTCTGATTTTTTTAAAAAGAATAGAGATTGGGAATTTTATGTGGCATATCTGGATTCATTTTCTAAAAACACCATGATGGCCAAACAAAATGTATCTGCAGGTCAAATCCAGGACACAGGTACCAGTTTACACTCTCTGCTCTAAACCATTAGCTTAACCCAAGAAGGTTTCTTCCCTTCCATTATGACGACACTGATGTATCCCATTTATTTTGCAGAGATGAGAAACTTGGGTTTGAGCCACCTACTCTAGGCTGAGATGGCTGCCACCCCACTTCTAAAAGGGAAACCTGGAAGGGCTCATTTCTTTGAGTCCTGGAAGGCAATCCCAGAAGGTAGCTTTGATCTGGAGGGCTGGTACCTGGTCCGGTCTGAGGCAGCACTGCTGCTGCTACTGCTGCTGGATTCAGAGTCTGAACTGCTCCGGGGAAGGCTGCAGTCATTGCGGTACACCAAGAAACTCT